GGGAAAGAACCAGTAATATGTTACAGCCAATTTAACAATCAGTTTTTCTCCTTACATGTAACAAAGATTGGCTGGCCTCAGGATCTTAAACAAGCATTCTGACTTTTAAACTTGAGTACCCTTCCACAGTTGGCATATTGACACTTCCAGCCCATTTCTAAAGTCTGCACTTGGGGCTCAGCAGTGAGTGTGCTCATTTCCTGTCTGCTGAGCTTCCTTCCCTCTGGGCTTTCACTTGCTCCCCTGCACTGAGGCTAACTCTTGTTTTCTTTCACAGTGACAAAATCCAGGCCCTCTCCTATGCACAGCACACACGGCAGCTCATCTCATGTGGCAGTGATGGTGGCATAGTCATCTGGAACATGGACGTGGAGAGGCAGGAGGTAGGTGCACGGCTGCTGGTCTGGGCTCTGCCATTCTTGGCTATGCTGAAAACAGCTCCGCTGGCCCTCCTGCTCATTTCTTATTTCTTTTACAATTAAGCCTTGAAATAAGATAGAGGAAAAACATTTGGGTAGAATAGGAGTTTCTATATTTTTGCCTCTCACAAATTGGCATTTAACATTTAAGTGATGGAGATTTCATAAGAATTTAGACTGAGAGTAAACTGTGTAGACTTTAAATTTGTTGCAACATTCACAACAAAATTTCAGGTGAGAAAAAGGAACCTTCTCTTTTCAGGTGATTAGTCCTTGGGTATAAAGTGCCCTATGAAAACAGAAAACTCATATATTGATAGAAATGATCACTCGTGTGTGAGAAATGGTATTTGATGAAGTAACATTCTTTAATTATTAATAGAAATATTCAAAATCATTATTTTATGCTTCTTTATGAGTCATCTCCTAAATAGTTCTCCAGATATAAATATATATTTTGGCAGTTTCAGCATATATTACTAAGTTTTACCTTTCTTTTTCACCTTTGAGTGTCTTAAAAGTGATATGTTTACTGAATATCCCCTTTGACAAGTAGATTGAAGGTAACTATATATTCTCCTTTCCCTAGAATGATGGTGGGTAAACTTTCCCATTGGCATTGTATGCTTTTCCAGTTTCAGAAAAGCAACACATTAAAAAAAGACAAAAGCAATTTCCCAACTTCCTTCCCTGCCCTCATCCAATCTCATTTCAAGAGAATGTTACCCACAATCTAATACCTTTCAAATGTCAGTAATTAAATGTTTCAGAAGATTAAAACTTGATTTGCTGAAAACATAAATCCACAGGAGTTCCATTAGTAACTAATTAAAATGATCATTATTGTTAGGAAGTAGGGAATTATAGAATATTGCTTTTCAAAGTACCCTTTGGCCCCATCAGTATAAAGGCATGGAAATCAGTGCATTGTGTGCTAGCCATGCTGCCAGGCTGTCCGTTGGAGCGTGGTTCTGCATGGAAGCTGCTGCAAGTGAGGCACAGTCACAGCCAGTCTGCTGGCCTCTTCCCGGGCCTGACTGGCCTGACCTGGGAGGAGAGGACCAGTGGGCTCTTTCCCCTCAGTGGACTGTGGGAGGAAGAAGTGTTTCTCTACCCGCACGGTCTTTCAGCTGGTCTAAGTTTCAAATAGACATGGAGCAGATTAACAAGATAAAATAACCAAATATAACACATACATATGTATGGGAACTCCACATATGTGAGAGAGTTAGAGAACTTACATACATGAGAGATTCAAAGACAGAGGGGAAATGATGTAATAATCATATTCTACACTAGGAATCACCTTGGGGTTTCAGAAGGAAGGAAGATCATTGTAGGACAGTAAGAAGAGCATGTTCAGTTATTAGACATTTGCCCTGCCCTATAGATATTCTTTAAGGGACAGATAAAAGTTTATGTTGACCTTGCAGGGTCTCAGGTGCCTTTAGCTCAAAAGAATCCCAATACCATCAAGGCACATCTTGTTGTGAGGGGCAACTCTTTCTGAGCAGCAGGAAGGCTCTACCCATGATGGGCAAAGGCCTAAAGGAAGATAATGAAACCAGGTGGTTGGTGGGCAGTCCTTAGAGCCATCTTGCTTAAAATTATGCCTTTTGACATCCAGATATATGAGCACTCGGTACTTGTTGACTATTTTAAATCTTATTGAGTGATTCAGAATTCTAAATGAGCAGTGGAGATGGTTCCGTCAATTTTTTTTACAAGTGTCATATAAACAGAAATCCCGAGATGTATCTGTGGAGCACCTTTCTTGTATGGAAAGTGCCGAGCAGTGCTCACCTGGGGAGGTCTGAGACTGTGATGAAGCAGTCCCTGCCCTGCAGTGCTGGCAGGCTTTCTAGAAGAAAAGACATGTGAGAGAAAACTTAAGGAAACTATGAAATGGTACAAATGAATTAATTGCAGTAGATGTAAGATAGGGCATTAGTTCTGGATATTTAGGAAGGGATGTTACTATTGTCATCTGATATTCTCAGAGAAGAGTGTGTGGAAGGACATAGTTCTAAAAGATTGATGGGGTCTGAACGTGCTCTGACCAGGACAAGAAACAGCAAGAGTAAAGACCAGACGATCATGAGCCATGGCACATGGAGCATTGGTGTGCGTGCGCAAGGGAAGCCAGCAGAAACAAAAGGCTAGCTGGGGGGTGGGGCAGACGATGAAGACATCAAGTGGCTGATCGCATTGGGTTGATATCCCTTAGGTTAATAACATCTGTTTTTTCAAAGAATATGTAGAAAATTACAGAGTGCTCACTAACAAATAGAATGTAGTTACTCATGATACCACCACCCAGAAATATCACACTTAACAGGCAAGTATTCTTCCTTACACTTTTTTCTACATATACACATATGGAAGGTTTTTTTTAACAAAAAATGAGATTGAATTATACTACACATCACATGGTGATTTAATTTCTTCCCCTTACCTGATACTTACTCCCAACTCCCTCCTCATTGATAGACACCACTGTGATGCATTTGATATGCGTCCTAAACCTTGCATGCTTCCTTGTAAAAGATGCAGTGATGCGTGTATGTTAAAGTTTTCTGTAAATCTTCCTGCATCAGAACTGTTCTAAAAAATCACAACATAGGTATGACTTTTAGGTGTAAAATGTCTTTAGCTAAAACCTTTGTATTATTTTCTTAAATCTGGCTTTAAATTGACTAAGACATGAAAATTACGGAGCGACTTAAGGCTTACTTTCTTCGGTTTTGGCTCAGTTGGTTGGGTGTCGTCCTGTGCACCGGGAAGTTGCTTGTTCGATTGATTCCTGGTCAGAGCACATGCCTGGGTTTTGGACTTGATCCCTGGTGGGGAATGGGCAGGAGGCAGCCCGATTGATGTTTGGCTCTTACATCAATGTTTCTCTCTCTCCCTCCCATTCCTCTCTCTAAAAGCAATAAACTATTCTTTAAAAAAAAAAGGAATTAGAGCTCTTAAAATGTCACCCTTTTACTTTTCTTTTGAGAACATGTATAGCTTTAGGTTTATTTCTGTTTGAAGGTAGGAGAATATGCTAAATCCCTAAAACTGTTCCTTAATAGGTATTCCTTAGAAAAGGATTACATCAATAGAAAAAGGCCTTCACCCTAACCAGTTTGGCTCAGTGGATAGATCATCAGCCTGTGGACTGAAAGGTTCTAGGTTTGATCCTGGTCAGGGGCACATGCCTGGGTTGTGAGCTTAATCCCCAGTGTGGGGCGTGCAGGCGGCAGCCAGTCAATGATTCTGTCTCATCATTGATGTTTCTCTCTCTCTCTTCTTCTTCCTTCCTCTCTGAAATCAATAAAAATATATTTTTTTAAAAAGGCAGTTTCAAAAAGAAAAAGGCCTTCCCAAGCCTTTATTACACTGCTGTCTATTATGAATCTCAGAGAGGAAACAGGCTATTGTTTACATGTTTCACAAACTTGTTTGATCTCAGGCCTCTTTTACATTAAGAGTCAAATGGGAGTTCCCTGGAATTCACTTTTGGGAAACCTTGGGATTGGGTTTATTTTTTAAGGTTCCTTGGGTTTGGTGACATGTGGAAAGAGATCAGTGCCTCTGCCAGGTGATGAATTTACAGAGATGAATATGGAACTGTAGAAGCAAATGCAGAGTCACTATAAGCCTAATCTATGAAGATTTGCTGGAGAATAGCTTTAAACTTCACACAACTTTTAAACCTGTTTGACATAGTTTAGAGTATTTGTGATAGGGCTGGGAAATAGTGAACGAAGTCAGGCTATTGTGTGACCCATGAGGCAAGGAGCAGAGTTTCAAACCCTGCTGGGCTGTGCCGTGAGTGGGCAGGGACAAGTTGTGTCTCCGAGGAGCTACCGTGGTCAGGTTCTGTCCCTCCAACACAGAAAGCTGTGCGTACGTGTAATGTGCAGTTACATAATTGTACACAAAGCAGATATAATTACATACGGTCAGAGAATGAGACACAGTCCTGAATCCTCAAGGTGCCTGTCAAGACTGCTGATAAAGCCCCAGCTCCCCCTGAACACCCCTGAACTCTGCCTAAGTCAGAGCACTCAGCACTCTGTGCTTCTTTTCAGGCCTTTGCACTGGTACTTACTTAAATAATTATGATTAATAATATTTCCATGTTTAGTCTACCATGATGATTCTCCATGAGATTCTTTTTATTCATCACTACATCCCAGGGCCTGACACCTAATAGACATTTGTAAATATTTTTTAAATGATTGAGAAAGTGTGCTTCTGTTCCTTATAAGCATATCCTGATTCTGTTTCATCAATGTAACTTACATCAAGTAACCTTAGGTCACTTTCTCACTGTGACCTGTTGTGTATTTTATTTGACAAGACCCCTGAATGGTTGGACAGTGATTCCTGCCAAAAGTGTGATCAGCCTTTCTTCTGGAACTTCAAGCAAATGTGGGACAGTAGGAAAATTGGCCTAAGACAGGTGAGTGATATGGCTGCTTCATCAATATGTAATCGTGTGCCCTAACCGGTTTGGCTCAGTGGATAGACCGTTGGCCTGTGGACTCAAGGGTCCCAGGTTCGATTCCGGTCAAGGGCATGTACCTTGGTTGCGGGCACATCCCCAGTAGGGAGTGTGTAGGAGGCAGCCGATCGATGTTTCTCTCTCATTGATGTTTCCAACTCTCTATCCCTCGCCCTTCCTCTCTGTAAAAAAATCAATAAAATATATTTTTTAAAAATGTAATCGTGTGTAAATAACTTTACCTTGTAATCTTGGAAGAAATAGGGGTAAATTATTATCATGGAGTCTCTTTGTAAGTGCACATTAATTTGTTCCCTTTATCTGCTATAGCTCATTCCTACTGGATTCAGTTTTATATAAAACTGTCCCCAGTAAGTAGTTAAGGTATATTTCAATAGATGCAGAATTCTACTGGCATCTATTGAAATATACCTTAAAGTTAGAGGGATGATGCTTTAGCTCATATTGGTACAAACCATGTAATTATAGAAGTGGTATTTATTTATTCTTAATAATTTCACTGGTCCTTCTTATGTCTTAGTTTTAGTTATTTGAATCTACTTATAATACGACATTTCAATCTGATTCCATGCTTGGGTTTGGTCCTCCCTAAGGCACCAAAAGTTGATTTTATTGCTCACCTAGATTGTGCGTGACTAGAGTATAGACCAGTGATGGTGAACCTGTGACACGCGTGTCAGATGGTGACACGTGAACTCATTTCTTTGGTTGATTGTTCTTTGTTAAATGGCATTTAAATATATAAAATAAATATCAAAAATATAAGTCTTTGTTTTACTATGGTTGCAAATATCAAAAAATTTCTATATGTGACATGGCACCAGAGTTAAGTTAGGGTCTTTCAAAATTCTGACACGCCGAGCTCAAAAGGTTCGCCATCACTGGTATAGACAATGGATTGAATCAGGGTTCATTCCTATTCTCCTTCATGAGGCAGCATAATCTCGGAGATGGCACTTCCTCATTACACTCAGCTTTAAGATAACCTGACTGCTGGGTGGTTCCTCTAGAGATCATAGTGATGATAACCAGAGAGTACCAAGAATGGGGTAAGGAGGCAGAAGGGAGATGGCATTCAGATGTGTTTCCCAGCAGTCCTCATTCTGAATAAACACAACTGCTGTGTTCCTTTCAGTTTTGGGGGCAACCTTGTTTAGCATCCTCAGCTAAATGCTGTCGATCACTGCTGAGCATACCCCGAGATGCTGAGGCACGGCCGCCCTAACAAGTCTCCGTTCTCTCTCCGCAGCACCACTGCCGCAAGTGCGGGAAGGCCGTCTGCGGCAAGTGCAGCTCCAAACGTTCCTCCATCCCCCTGATGGGCTTCGAGTTTGAAGTGAGGGTCTGTGACAGCTGCCACGAGGCCATCACAGATGAAGAGTAAGTTCCAGCTGAAAAATTGTCAAGGTTAAGGAGAGAATGTGAACTGAGCTGCACCCAGCACACAGTCGTGACTACTGATGCCCTAGCTCAGTGATGGCGAACCTATGACACGCGTGACACACGAACTCATTTTTTTGGTTGATTTTTCTTTGTTAAATGGCATTTAAATATATAAAATAAATGTCAAAAATATAAGTCTTTGTTTTACTATGGTTGCAAATATCAAAGAAGTTCTATATGTGACACGGCACCAGAGTTAAGTTAGGGTTTTTCAAAATGCTGACACGCCAAGCTCAAAAGGTTCACCATCACTGCCCTAGCTCCTGCTGGTTTAGAATGCAGATCCTGGCAAGTGGGCAAAGCCCACCTTTCCACGAAGAGATTGTGTTCTCTTGTGACTTGGGAGGGAAGAGTACTCACAAAGAATGCATCCCTGTGCTCCTCTCAACCCCAGGGGTATGTGCATTGCAAATAGGTGTTCCTCAAGCAGAGCCTTCTGTATACTCATTTCCTTAAGAAGTGCTCAGGAGTTCGGAGTCCAGGGTTCACTTTCTAGCCCAAGCTGGTATCTTCTACAGGAGCCAAATCAGCCCTAGGCTCTAGAGCAAGCATGTCAAACTCGCGGCCTACTGGCTGCATCTGGCCCACAATGAATATTTTTGTAGCCCAGCCAATATACTGGTACATAAGAAATGTTTTAATAAAAATTTCGTAACTTAATTTTTACAATGTCTTATTATACATAATTATTAATAACAAACTACAACGTGCGCTTATGACCGATGACTGTAATCGTGCTGCACCCATTTCCCCTCCAGCCTTACGCGCAGGCGCACCGTTTCTCTCCACTAACACCAGCAGTGAGTATTTTAGCAGCCGATGGCCATGTCATTAGCCTTGGACTGACTGGTTTGGTGTGCACAACAGGAAATATTTCGCTTTAGGAGAACAAGAAAAATAGGTTTATTTGTATTACGCTTATTATTTGTGCAGTTATTCAGTGTCTGGTAAGTTAATGTTCAAGAAAAAATATTAATGTTTATTAAATGTTCTATTATTTTATGTTAACGATCACTCATTTATTTCAGCCCTTTGTATTCAGTATGTCTCTATCAAAATAAACCTACGTTTCTATGAAAATTGAAGCTTTTGTTATTTTTGCGGCCACATAAATCTTGTTTATTGGGCCTGTTGTTT